TGCTGTCCCATGAAATCAAGGATTCCTCGTTGGACGCCTGTTGGGCTTGGCTCTTCAGCACAAACATCTGGATCCAAATCGAACGTTCGTCTTAGATAGTCCCTCGTCGTCGGACCGATCGTTGCAATGAACGTTTTACGTCCCTCGAGCCCGTCCTTCTTGACCTTCCCTGTGGACTCGTCCAGCATCCCCAGCCCGCGCAACATCCCTTCGCAACCAGTCGGGGAGAAGACAACTACCCACCGCATCGGCAGGCCCTCAGTATCTTTCAGGTGTTTCTCAAAGTCTTGAGGAAAAGACTCCATGACACCCGTGCCGTAGACCACGACCTCGTCCACCTGGATTCTTTTCTCGCTGGGCAAAGCGGTGTTCATGAGGGTTTTCGGGATGATGTCCCGCCTCTGCTCGCCAACGAGGAAGAGCAGCGGTGGCTTCGTCTGCCGGTCTTGGTACCATCGGCCATAGTGGTCCAAAATGTACTTGGCCAAGGCATCGCCATTGCCCGTGTGCTCGCCGAATATTTGCAACGGGGCGTGCTGTGAGACGGACTGGAGAGCTCGTGTGGTAGCCGGGCCAACGCTGTAGACTGGTATATTTTGGAGATGAGGCCACTCTTCTTCAGTGCCTGTCAATCCGGTTAGCTCTGCTTTGTTACGGTCGAGAGGCTTGAGTTTAAGCTCTTGATGCGGGTGCGAATCCGACGGACCCTTCTTCTCATCCACCAGGCTGGCAAACGCCTCGACCGCTCGCTGCGAGGTAAAAATGAGACCGCCGTAAGAGGCGTCGTTGCCAGCATTAATCTCACGTTGCTGCAAGACATGCCTGACCGTCGCCATGCCCTGTTTCTGAAAGGTGTGGTGCAGGACCGGGACAAAAGTTGGTTCGAAGGCACACCCGTCAGTTTCACCTGAGAGTAAGTCCTCGTACGAGTCGCCCGGAGTTGACTTTGTCTTGAGCAGCAGGACAGGCACCTTGACTGCCAAAGCAAATGAGGGGTTCTGAGCCATGGCAAATGTCTTTGCGGCCCGCTGTGTCGTGATGAGTAAAGCGAATGAATTAAACTATCAGACGTCTCAAAGTCAATTGCTGGAGTATCAAATCAACGGTGACGACTTCCCGCTCAGCTGCGCACTTTGCGGTTTGACTTGGCCGTCATAATGGTTATCGCACTGGACGACGGGACGGTGCCCCGCCGCGGGCAATTCGGTGAATTTTGGCAGGCGGAGCTGGCTTGATGTAGAGTTACGTACTGTCTTAGGTAAGTCGGTGCCATTTCACTTACACGAATCTCCTCGACCGACTCAGCTTCTTCGCCGTTGTCAACTCCGACGCGGAACACAAGTTCAAAGCATCGAGGTCACTAATCTGACGAAGCACCGCAGAAGTGAAGTACTGGACGAGTTCTTCGTATCAGACATGCGAGACAACAGTAAAGTTCATCGAATTTCTCGCTCGGGATATATAAAGGGGAGGGGTTTGGAGAATACCAGACACATGGCCTGCTCCCGAGTCTCAATGAGTAGAGAGAGCACACGATTGCTAGAACCAAGTGGAACTACTCGCACCTTATTACGGATACATCTGCAAGGACCCCCGGGTCGTAGATGCACTTTGACGGTCCGAAAAGACGGCTGCCTGGTGGACAAATGGGTTGACCTTGAATGACTGCCATGCGGCTCAGGGACAAGAAACACCCCACCTCATCTTTTCGGTACCTTGCGGATAGCGTGGAATCGATTAAGCAGCGGATCCCCCGCTAAGGCGCCGATTACAGCATCCGTATACCCAGAGACTCCCGCCTCACACCACACCAATGCAGCACGATAGACCAGGCCGGATCCCAATTACGGGTTCTGGGTACGTCGAAAGTCTACCGGTGCTTGCCGACGGGAGCCGGCCACCCTTGGTTGGACCGGGCATTATCACTTTGGAATTTCAGGTCGAGAATAGATAATGCTTTGCGATCCTTGTACCTTGAGGTACCTTACCTTACCTGACCTCTAGTGGCCTTGGTGGGTTATCGATAACGGTCCGCCATCGGCATCCTTTCCTCGAGGTACTGACGAGGCTCTTGAGCTTACAAATTCCTCCCAACCAAAATTCGAACACTGTCCGACATCGCGCGCACTTGGGCAGACCACCCCATTCAAAGTCCCTTGTCGCATCCATTCTCTTTCTATAGGGCCCGTCGATATTAGCCTCGCTTCTCGCGACAAGGGCGAAACTCTCGCGCAGTACTATCGCCATGGCCGACGCCGAGCGAGACCCTCAATTAAGCAGCGTCACAGCCCCCGCGGCGACAGCGGCAGCTGAGCAGCCCAAGCCTTTACCAAAGGGAATGGTCTTGGGCCCAGATGGCAAACCGTAAGTTCCCATAACTTCCTTGACGGTGATCTTTCGGCGGTGGTTCAATCCGTCGGTGCTTCCTCACCGGAGATTCAGCTGACATGCGTCATCTTTAGATGTCGGTCTTGCTCGTCGAAGAGCGCTTTTTCGAGCTGGGCTTCTCAGATGAACGGCTCAGTCAGAAAACCAACTCCAGTGGCCTCGGCGCCTGTCGACGACTGCCCCCCGGATGTCGAGGCCCTTGGACGAGGCACTTGGCAACTGCTACACTCGATCGCAGCAACGTACCCCGAAAAGCCCTCCCCTAGCCAGAAAGACGACCTTCGAGGTTTCATGAGACTGTTTTCCAAGCTTTACCCTTGCTGGGTGTGCGCCGAAGATTTCCAATCGTACATACAAAAAGAACGGATTCGAGTGGAGGGGCGGAGCGAGTTTGGAAACTGGCTGTGCGAGGCGCACAACGAGGTCAATCGGAAGCTAGGCAAAAAGGAGTTTGACTGCAGCAAATGGGAAGAGCGATGGCGGACGGGTTGGAAAGACGGCCGTTGCGATTGAAAGCGACGCGGTTCGAGCTGTATAAATGTGTACGAAATAAAATGACCAACGGCGACGGGCACACGTGGTAGTATCGCGAGAAAAGCCACGGTCGTTGGACTTTGATAGACGATGCTACTCTTCCAGCGGCAGCAGAGCAAGACAGCATGCTGAACCGCATGTAGAACACCTACCATACCCTCCACCTAGAATAATAGTGAAACAAGCGGACTACATTTCTGTAAAGTTTGGTTCGGATTGTATTGCATGTAAGCATTTACTGCTTACCAAGGGTTGGGCGTTGTTGCTTGTAGCTGGTTGAGGTGAAGAATGACGAACTCCTATCTTTGTAGACCCTTATGCATGCAGATCTTTGTCATGCTTTTCCGATTGGCCATTGCAGATCCCCAGAACATGATCTGATATTTGCAGGATTCTGTCTAGGCAGGCGAATGGGCCAGTGACAGAGCTGAACTGTCGAGTTGATGTTTGACCAAGTATTTCGTCTGGAGAACTTGTCCCAAAACTAAGAGAAGAGGTCAGTCGTTCTCTTCGGTCGTCCTCAGGTTCGGGGCTGAGGTCCAAGCGATTTGTCCGAACGGCATCGCGAGATAATTCGGTCTTCGAGCGGCGGCCCGAAGTCGAGCGTAGCGGGCCCCGGGCCCGGCTCCGCAGCTGACAGGCGCACGATGCTCAATGGTACTTCCATTGTGTTTTATTTGGGCCGTTGCGCCGTAGCAGGGCCGATAGGCTGGGGCCAACATCAGATCATGCCGAATGGTGCGCCGCTCCCCTTTCCCCCCAGTTTGCGCACGACAACGACAGGAAGGGGCGGTCAGGGAAACCCGGAAGCGAAGCAATAACCCCCCCATGGAATTGTCTGAGTCGCTCTAGTGCATTGCCGCTGATCCTTGAGGTTCCAAGCTCATGTTATGGTCTTATGTTGGCTCAAAGCAGGATGCGAAGGTTACAAGTTTGGCTAAATTGTGAATTCGCACGGATAAGGAGCGTGGGAGGGTGGGAAACAGCAGGGCACGCCGCAGTTTCCCGACGGGGTGGATGCAGATCCCACGCTGTCAACGGTTGCGTACCTTGCCAAGTTGCCAGCCGGGAAGCGGGCTTCCATTGCCTCACACTCACAGGCAGGCAGGGACAAGGGTTAGTTAGGTTGGTTGGTCCTGACGTGTTCTAGGCCTTATGCTGCCCAGCACTGTCACTTTTCCTTCCTGCACTTTCTCCCAGAGGACCCAAAATCCACAAACCACGTACGGAAACGGATGCTCAGGACGGATACGTTCGCTTTCTTCCCTGTTCTGCCCTGAACGCGAGCAACTTTATTATCGTCCCATTCTGTTGTCTCACTATCAGTAGAATGTTGCCTTACGTCGAACAGTGACAAGGTACCAGAATAAATCTTTTTTTTCCCTCAGATATCTGGGACCTCACCTCACCTCACCTCCGGAACCCACCGGCCCAGCCCGGCTTGAGCCCGGTGTATTGGTGACCGCAACCTCCTGTGGCGTGTTCCATTACATCACTCACTGTTGACTGTATCTCCTTACTCGGTGCAATGCATCCATTGTCTGCTCGCCCTCTACTCTATTCTGAGCCGCACCAAGATGGGTAACCACGCTACTATCTCGCGTCTTTTCCCGTCTGGTGCCAGGACCCCCATCTTGGTCCCCTTTCACCCAAATCTTGATCGAACCCGTCGCATGCCGAGACCCGGTACCCACTGCCTGCGCTTCAGCCGCCTCGCTGGCTCGTAGTATCTTGTCACTTATACGAAAATGGAGCTACATGAGCTGTCGCCCATCGCCGATGGCCCTGTCGTTTCAATCTGCAATGGCCAGTGGTCTGACTTGACGATCCTGGCCGACCCATGCAATGATGCCGAGACTCGAGTGAGTCCAAGTCCGACTGGGACCATCAACAACATCGCCATCTCCGCAGGTTGTTGACTCTGATATAAGTCTATACGCCTCTGGCCTTGACTGGGACCCTTTTTCTCCTTCTTCATTCCAGATCTACACAGACGAACACTTCTACAACATACACTCGAGGTAGCATCCAAAGCTACCCCCTTCTACACCATCAGCTGCTCACACACATATCCGATCATGGCTGATATCAGAACCCAAGGGCTTATAGAGCCTGTCGACGTCGTCGAATACCTCTTCAGGAGACTCCATGAGGTCGGTGTCCGCTCCGTTCACGGCCTTCCCGGTGACTTCAACCTCGTTGCCCTCGACTATCTTCCCCAGTGCGGCCTGAAATGGGTTGGTAATGTCAACGAGCTCAACGCCGGTCAGTATCCCTACAACCTATCAACTTGCCAAGTAAGCTTCGATCGACGAACTGACATTCTTCAAGGCTACGCTGCCGATGGTTACGCCCGTGTCAAGGGCATCTCTGCCATCATCACTACATTCGGTGTTGGCGAGCTCTCCGCCATCAACGCTCTCGCCGGTGCCTACTCAGAACACATTCCCGTCGTACACATTGTCGGTTGCCCCTCTACGATCTCTCAGAAGAACGGCATGCTCCTGCACCACACCCTTGGCAACGGCGACTTCAACGTCTTCTCCAACATGAGTTCTCAAATTTCATGCGATGTTGCGCGCCTCAACAACCCCGCCGAGATTGCCAACCAGATCGATCATGCTCTCCGAGAGTGCTGGATCCGCAGTCGCCCCGTCTACATTATGCTCCCCACCGACATGGTCCAGAAGAAGATCGAGGGCCAGCGCCTGAACAAGCCCATCGACCTCGAGGAGGCCATCAACGACCCTGACAGAGAGGACTACGTTGTCGACGTCGTCCTCAAGTCCCTTCATGCCGCCAAGAAGCCCGTCATGCTGATTGACGCCTGCGCTATCCGCCACCGCGTCCTCCCCGAGGTTCATGCACTCCTTGAGAAGACAAAGATTCCTGTCTTCGTAACGCCCATGGGAAAGGGTGCCGTCAACGAATCTCACCCCAACTACGGCGGTGTTTATGCCGGTACCGCTTCGCAACCCGATGTTGGTGAGCGACTCGAGTCCTCAGACTTGATCTTGTCCATTGGTGGTCTCAAGGTAAATTGCCTCGTCGCTCCTAGAAGTCCGAAGACAGCTCATTAAAATTCTTGCAGAGCGATTTCAACACCGCTGGATTCTCTTACAGAACATCGCAGCTGAACACCATCGACTTCCACAGCACACACATGAGAGTCAGATACTCTGAATACCCTGGCATCACCATGCGCGGAGTCCTCCGCAAGGTCACTGAGCGTCTTGACTTGAGCCAGCTTTCCGTCGTCACATCACCCGAGGTCATCAACAGAGTGCCCAGCCCCAACTCGGACCCCTCGCAAACCATTACCCAGGCTTACTTATGGCCTCGTGTTGGCAACTACCTTCGCGAGAATGACATCGTTGTCACCGAGACCGGAACGGCCAACTTCGGTATCTGGGACACCAAATTCCCTGCTGGGGTCACAGCTTTGAGTCAGGTCTTCTGGGGAAGTATCGGTTGGTCTGTCGGTGCTGCCCAAGGTGCTGCTCTCGCAGCCAAGGATGCGGGAGAGGACCGCAGGACAATTCTCTTCGTCGGCGACGGATCATTCCAACTTACGGCCCAGGAGGTCACTACCATGTTGCGCCACGGCTTGAAGACGACAATGTGAGTCCAACTCCCCTTATTCCTTTGCACCGACTCCAAGAATCTCACGCTAACGTTGCATCATAGCTTCGTCATCTGCAACGATGGATACACCATCGAGCGCTTCATCCACGGCATGGAGGCCGAGTACAACGACATTGTCCAGTGGCAGTACAAGGAACTTGCGACAGTGTTCGGCGGTACCGAGCAGACAGCCAAGAAATTCGTCGTCAAGACAAAGGATGAACTTGAGAAGCTCCTGACTGACCAGGAGTTCAACAACCCCACAACACTACAGTTTGTCGAGCTCTACCTCCCCAAGGAGGATGCGCCAAGAGCATTGATCATGACTGCTGAGGCCAGCGCTAGAAACAACGCCAAGGTCGAGTAAAGAGACGACAGCAATTCTTTTTTCATGGAAGATGGTTTGATTCCCTCGGCGCAGGAAATGGTTTTCTGGCGCATGGCTAGACGTAATTGGTTGCTTCTGTGATTATCCTTGGCTTTAGGTTATTGGTTGGTAAAACGTAGTGAGACGACTACGGCTAGATTACATATGAACTAGATCGGTATTTCATTATTCTCCTGCACCGGATATTATTGATATGAGACGACGGCCTACCGAGTGATGACTTGCGGACAATAGACACACTCGCACACTTTAGCACACGGTCTTTGTCTTTCAAGCCATCAACAGGCCTCAGCCGTGTCATGGCTCAAGTATTCACAATAACCAAAAGGAAAATGTGAAAGAAGGCTCTTTGTATCGGAGAGTAGTTTGAAGACGACCGCGGCGTAAATTACATGAGAGGAATACCTTGGCATAAGTGCGTTTTCAGTCAGCGCTCCAAGGTTGCGCAGAATTATGGCAGTTCTGTGTCTTCATTGATATTTTGACCTGTCTCGTCAAGTGGAATTGAGCTGTACCTAGCAACTAAATGACAGGCGCATCGTCTTTCTCCCTCCGCTGTGTCTCTAGTACTCACAAGGAGGCAAGCTGAAGTTTAAGCAACTAGATAAATATTCAATTGCCATAGTTCCACGCAGCTGGACTTTGACTTCCCGGCAAGTCGTCCAGCATGAGATCCGGCACATTCAATTCATGCAATTGATAACATCAGCTGACGTTCCCTTGCATAAGACTCGACTTAAAGAATCGTGGGATCAAGGTCTAGAAATCGTAACCGAATCGTGTTTTGTTTGTCAGGTTTTAATTATCAGAACGCAAATTGGCATCGTTGAAGGCCAATCGCTTCAACGATAGAGCTTTCATATTCGACCCTTTTAAAAACAAGCCCTACGATGTCAATTGAGAAGCTTCGATTAAGCACCATCGAACTGATGGCTGTTGACGATGGCTGGTTGTTGGGAAGTGACCCTCAGGCTGCAATAAGACGCAGAAAGTATAGCGGGTCCAGCTCGTCTGATTTCTTGCCTTTGGGCGGTGTGGACTTTTTACCTCTTCTAGCTATCTTCAGTGCAGCACACCAAGCTTCCATTCTCTCTCAGCAATCCCACAAGGCACAATTTCCACACTCACAGCCCACAAGGGCTTCGGCGCAGCATCCCAGAAGATTTCAGAGCTGCAGCTCGCGAAGCTCCTACAAAATGACAGATGGGAAGAGGAAACAGTCGGGTGGCGGTGGTGGCCATCCCGCTAAGAGAAGCAAGGTAGGTTTTCATCTGATTTCTGTACATTGCACTACGCAGTTAATTCCTCCCGACCCTGCCTGAACAATCTTATGAGAAGACATACTATTCTTCAGTATAAGTTCATGGCTGATGAGAAAGTAGGGTGGGCAAGGCTCCGGCAAATGGCAGACGCCGCAACACAAGGCGAAGGTCGCCAGTCTTCAGGACAAGGGCGTCGCCCTCGGGGTTGGCGACAAGGGTATCTGGGTCACATTTGCCAGAGGCATGGACGGAAAGTCCATTAGCGAATTCAGCATACTATGTGACGAGGTTTGTTGATTCTGCCATCATTTCGCATTTACGCTCACTCATACGACTACGCCTCAGTACGCAAAGATACTCTACGGCATCGTTCCCCCCGGGGAAGAAGTTGAATCAGACGAGGAAGACGAGGACATTGAAGCGTCCATAAAGAAGGAGCTCGATGGTATCAGCGAAGCCAACAAGGGCAAGACCAAGCGTACGTTCAAGGCCATCAAGGCTGGGATCGAGTGTGTCTTCTTCATGAAGACAAGGGATCCCATCGACCCCGTGGAGCTTTGCCGTAAGATGTGCATAGACGCCAGCGTCTGCACTGATCTCAAGGAGAGGAAGACAAAGTATATCAACCGGCTGACGCCGGTCACCTCTATGGATAAGGCATCTGAGAACGGCGTGGTGCGAGTCGCTAGAAAGGCTCTGGCCGCGCATTTCGATCTCGTAGATGAGACAGCTCAGGCTGCAGAAGGCGACGCAGAGAAGGTCGAAGAAGGGAGTGATGCTCGGACTGAGAAGCCGGCCTGCACAGTACGTTCACTCATGGCAAATTTTGACTGGGTGATTCAGGCTGACATATTTGGCAGTATGCCATCAGACCTTCCATACGCAGCAACAACTCACTTGATCGCGACACGCTCATTAAGCAAATCGCCAGCGTCGTCAGCCCGCGGCACAAAGTCGATCTCACTAATGCCGACAAAGTCATACTTGTCGATGTTTTCCAGGTAAGGGATGACTAGTAGGATAGAGCTAGCGAGCATCAAACTGACTGGTCCGTAGAGTTTCTGCGGTATGAGTGTTATTGAGCGCAGTGACTGGGAGGATTTAAAGAAGCTCAACGTCAACGAACTGTACAAGGCGTCTCCTGGAGCACAGGCAAATCGCCCGGCACCAAAGGAAGGTGAAAATAAGGCAGCATGAGTAGTGCATGAGGTCGTCAAGGATACACTTGGGATCACCCATCGTCTAAGCGACGGGAGCACTTACCGTATAGCATTCGTGAAACCCCAAGCGAAATAGCCAATTGGTCTTGCGAATACCAGATGATGAGAGTTGATAAAAGGCATGATTCACTCACTTGCACCTTGACAAGCACCGTCCCCACTGCATGACAATATCATTCGACATTGGTGGGCTTTTGGCTCACTTTTGGCTCCTTCTGACGACATTGCGTAGCAAAGAAGCCGATACGCCCCCTTCAATACATTGAGAGGGTTATTTTATAGAGACCCAACGTTACACTGTGCGACTTGTGTATTCTCCTTCAGTATGGCCACTCGTCCCTCGAAGATGTTCAGAGCCGGCGGCCCGAGGTCTGGCGTTTCGATTAGTGTTGGTTGGGTAGCTTTGGTGAAGGCTGCTGGCCTTATGTACGTGACGCGCAAACCCCAAATAGCCTGCGACAATGGTCGAGCCCGGATTTTACCATACACACTGGAGTGTTCTCTAGCACAGATTTTATGCGGACTGAGCTGCTATGAGTGTTCGTCATCTCAGGGCTTCATGACGGCAATTTGATGGGAACCCGACGCTGTTTCTTGTGGGAAGTTAATCGTGGGAGGAGGAGCAGCAATGAACGACGCGGGCTCTACCAAGTACCATGATGGCCAGATATCTCTGCAACGTGATATGGGATATGGGGAAATCCATGCAAACATGGGGGCAAATGCGGTCACGTAGGTGTTGTGTTGGTGGAAAAGTAGCAGCTGAAAGCCGAGCGCTCAGGGTGGAGCGAGGTGTAAGCCGTGTGGAGAGTGCGCATCTGCAAGCATGACGGCGCTAAGCCTTATCTGTATAAATTTGACGAGTCTCCAGCATATGGAACGTTCCAAACTTCTATTTAGGACCCAGATCCGTCCCTTGGCCGCTTCCACCACATTGTATCAGCTGGCAGGGGGGGCTAGTATGTTGGAGCTTGGGGTCGGCGGTCGATCCGGAAACTCAACATTGGCCATCATTGCAGACCCGGTGCATGCAAATATCAGGCCTCTGCAGCGTAGTCCTTTTGCAAGTGGACTCCGTCTGGCTGGATGAGGGGGGATTTGAAATGGTTGATGCAGAACTTCTAGATCGCCCATCTTTTACCTTACCTACTGCTAGATGGGATGCGTACCTCAGCCGGTAACTTCCTTACCGGAAAGGTACCTACAGAGCTTTGGGTTCCTAGATTACCTTGGCTTACTAAGTACCTTCAATACTTCCCTTTCTGCGAGGTGTATGCCATCCGCACAATGCGACTACCTGACCGGCCAGGAGGTATGTGATTCGGTGGTCCCGTTAGAACATTCTACCTTGGCATTGAGGTGTGAGATGTAATGGCGACAGAAACCAGAGAGTAAGAAGACAGTAGTTCAAGTATGACTTGCAGCAGCATGCTTCACCAAGTCGGCTTGACGCTAGCAAAAGTTCCTGCGCTGGTGGGCTGGATCTTGGGCTTGCATTTCCGACAACTTGCGTGAGCGTCGAGGCAGGCATTGTATCTGGAGAACTTTACAGTTCAACGTGCGCGGCGTTTGTGCGAGAAAGTCAACATGGCAGATGTTTCAATGGCTCGTGGCGTGCATTCGACATACCTCATGGCGGGAAAAGGCGACGGCCAACTGAAGATCCCCAACTTGAACATAGCTACCGAATCCGTACACTGCGAAGCGACTTGGCATTTGACGACAATCCGGGGTATCAAAGCTCCCATCTCATCTTAAAATACTTTGCCTGCCCTTGGATCTTGAGGTGTTTGTTTATCCGTTGGCATGGATCTGTATCCGTCCACTGTTGTCGAGCTAAGGCACCTTGCTGTGAGAATGGAACAGTGAGATGAGATGAGAAAAGAGTGGGAGAGTGGGTGGTGGCCGCCCCGACGCTGCGGGCGGGGATCCGAGACCCACCAGTTTCGCTTAATCGCATCCAATCAACAAATTCCCGGCTCGCTTGACGATGCAGAGTCTCGCTGGGGGCTCCCTGTCAACCTCGTAGCCCCCCTCCCATCATGAGAACCCTGCGAATAGATTTCCTCCATTCATTCCACTTCTTCACCAACCTCACCTCCCCAGATCGCAGACTACCTATATCTTAATCCCTTCTTTCTTCCCACACCGCGAAAAAATGATAAGCTTGTACCTATGCTCCTGGCTCGCACACTCTGCTCCCCCTTGAACTTATTGCAGGAATATCTACCTTACTTGCCAGTGCCTGCATGAGGTGAGGTCAGGTAGCCTGTAGGTAAGCTATGCGCTTGTGGAGATCGTCAACCGCACGATCAGTCCAGACTCGACACTTATCCTCTTTCTCTTATGGGAAGTAAAAGACGTTCATCTGCAACCTCGCTTGACTTGACCCCAAGTGGCACATTCCTTCGTATGTTGTTGGCATCCTGCGTTGCAGAGCCCCTCTCTGGCCCCTGCCTGTCTTCTCCTTTACCGACATATTTTTCATCTGCACTCCGGTACCTCATCTCTCTTCTCGGCCTATGTCCGTAAGATCCATTCACAATTCTTCAGTCGCTTTTTTTGGTTCCCCCCCTCCCTCTTTCTTTCCGTCTGTCTGCTGTATGTGTATGTGCACACTTGCGTGTCAGTCTCTCACACCCACACCTACAAACGCTCATGGAGGTCCATGGGTCTTGCGCGCTTGTTCCCTCCCTGCGCACCTCATGGCCAACGTAACTTATAAGCGAAAGGTAGGTTGTTAGCAGACGGCTTATACGTTGCTTATACGTTGTCGCTGTTTAGTGTTGTCTCTCTCGCTTATTTCTCACACGCCCATTGAGCGCATTTCCCCCTTCCCACCCACTCAGCCAGTGTTGCTCCTTGTACGACGCCTCGCCCGTCACCACCGAGCCATCGCGCCTTAGTCTGTCAACCTCTTGCTCTCTCGCCTGTTGCGCCTTCTCATTAGTTCGTCTCGTGTGTTGGCTTGTTCTCGACCGATCTCGCTTGTCCTGGAACAGCTCAAGGTCATCCTCATTGCTTGGCTACCTCATCAAGCTCATGTCCTTGAGCCTGGTTTTTGCGCCGCCCGCCCATCATGTCTCGCTTCTCGCCTCGACCGCTGCAATGCAACTGCATAGCTTAGCTTACCCTGTTTCTCTCACCTGTCTTATCTTCACCTTTGAGGCGTACGAAGACACTTATGCTGGCTCAAACAGGTGCTGCCCCGACCTCTGTTCGGACGGTTGCCGTCTTTTCTTGCGAAACAAGGATTTGTGTGTGGACCAGCTTCACTCACTCCATCGTTGGCTTTGGCCTTTCCACTCAGACCTTCACACCCCTGGGCTCTCAAACACCCTCAACCTCTGCCCTGCTCATCGCCGAACTTCCTTTCGCTTATGGTCGACTCATCTTTCCGTGATTTCATGCGCATACCTAGTGCCCTACCGTCATCAGCATCATCCTCCTCCTCCTCACCATCCGGCCCGGATGACATGAGCGAATAGTCCCCGTAAACCTCACTTGCCGGCTCACCTTTCGAATCCGCCTCGCTAGACACCCCGTTTCTATTGGAGTGATCTCTTGGTGTTGCCCTTGTTGGCATGAAAACGTCCAAAGTCCCCGGCCGGACCACTCCGTGTGTCCAGATTACGCCGCAACACGACCTTGCAAACCCCCACACCTTCGTCTGGGAAGCCGTAGAGCACTCGCTATATCTAGCTCCTTCGCCCAACCCCTACCACATGGCTCCTGGTCGGTGTCACCGCACTCACACCTCGACTTCACCTTGCATACCATTCGCCTGCCAGAGCGTTTCGCAAACCTGCAGCATCCCGCCCGTCACGCATCGACCTTCCATAGGGCAGAACCTGTATCACAATACAGTGTCAACGACGTCCATGTGTGCGCCGCCTCCTCCGGCAAAGCCCATACAGACCGTTATAAGCCGTTTGGTACCCCAGGCCACCGTCCAACAAGTTCAGGTGATGCCATCGGTCCATTGTCAACGCGTCTATGGAGTCAAAGTCTCCACCGGAGCGAGCTTGGTTCTCGTCGTTCCCCCGCCGCCTATGGTAAAGCTGCTGCGATCCGAACGAGCCTCCGTCGTCTCGGAGGCTGCCGTATTAAGATGGCTTGCTGGCAAAACTGTCGAGACGCCTCTTCTCCATGAGAAAGTTACGGAAACAGAAGGCTCGCCTTGGTCAACCTCTCCCATTGCCACTTACGAGAGTGGGACCACGAATTATTCTGATGTCGCGGTACAAGAACTGCGGGCTTTAGTTCCAACCCTCATATCACATACGGCCGCCACGAACGAGCTGGGCCTCGAATACAATCTCGTCAAGCCAACACTAGGCACCCCCATCTCCGAACTCAGTCCACCACTCTCATCGGCCGAACGGAGAACAGTTGATTTTCAAACTGGTCAATTATATCGGCAGCTTTGTGAGCAAGTGTCACCCACTGGACGATTCGGACCTGCATTTGCTGTTCTACCTCCATGTGCGCCATCACCAGCTACAGACTCCACGAAGTCTACGAGGCGAGATGTAGCCGCGAGATTGATGGAATCAAAAGGCGTCCATTCCTGGACTGTGGCCTTCCACTCAATGTTAGAGGCAGTGCTTCGTGACGGGGAGGATATGCAAGTAATGTTGGGTTACAGTGCCATTCGACGGCAGTTCAAGCGTTTCGAGCATGTGCTGGATGGAATCAAAACACCCCGGCTGGTGGCTGTTGACGTCGGCAAAGATGTCAACACCCTTGTGTTCAGAAAACGAGGCTCCGGAGACGACGCATCTCTGGTCGAGTGCAGACCGCAGGGAAGATTTCAACACACAGACCGCCGCGGTAGTGACGCAAGTAGTGAGGTTGGCGATGAGTATGATAACGGCTCGGATTCCGGAGACGACAACGCGTCACTGACTCTCCAACACGACGATGGCATCGTCATGGCTGGCATGAAGGATTGGAGCAACTTCGTCTTTGGAGATCCACTTTTTGCTCTCAATATCGGTCGTGAGCCTAGTGGTGCTTTTCTTGCGGGATTCAACTGGTCCTCAAACACTCGACACACCATCATCTCAATGTTTTCCTCGGATCTGATTGAGGACAAGGAGAGAGCTCACGTCCGCCTGCTGCTGTACGACTGCTACCATACAATCACGCACATTGCGAGAACATACTTCCGCCCGCAAAAGGACATCAGCGGACGCGAGCTGGAGGCACGAAAGAGGTTGAACACTATCCTGTCGCAGCTTGATGCTCTTGATGACGCCGGCACACGGAGGGGAAGAAGACCAAGTGGCGAATCAATCCCGGCCAAGAAACGGTCGAAGAGCGGGGAATCGTCCGACTAGTAGAAGATGGTCGTGTATCGAAAGGTGATGCTTATGATGAACGAACATTCTTAGAACATACTTCGGGAAAGACACGTCTAGAGCCTGGCGTACGGTTGCTTCCTGGAGGAAGATGCATTCGTCGTTTCAATAAAGACTGATTAATGACCTACAAGATCTTGGACGTTTGTCTTCTTCATCGCTTCTTCTTGCCTTCCCCGGCATCGTCGTCCTCGTCTCGCGGAAGCTGAAGTCCCATCATGCCTAGAATGTTTCCAGCCGGACCCGGCATACCACCCTGACCCTTGAAGCTTTCGAGGAGGTTCTTGGCTAGATTGTAGTCAATGTCAACTTCGTCGTCTGCCTCTTCATCATCATTGCTTGATTCAGGCCCACTGCCTTTCCCCTTCCCTTTCTGGGTTAGGGCTCTGTCTCGAGGTTGGTCCAACTTTAGAGCACCGTGTTCATTGAGCTCAGCTTCCAACTCAGCGGTAAGCTTCCGAAGGTCATCGCCGTCAGGTTCCTCGTCTCGCCCAATAGCTTTAGTATTCTCTCTTGCCGCAGGCGATTTGCTTGGAACATCATGAACGTCGAGCTCTATGGGTGCTAGTCCCATCATTTCTCTCATCATGCGAGAAAATTCCGCTTCGTCAAAGCTGACCGCCTTGTCTTCGTCTTCGTCATCTTCGTCTGACTCCATGCCCTCGGATCCGTCGTCGTCGTCGTCATCAATGTCCATTTCATCGATCTCGGCACCGTCTAGTCCTGCATTCTCATCGTTGAGAAAGGCCTCGAACCGGGAGACGATTTTGCGCAGGTCTGCTTGTGTTGTGGCATCTCCAAAGCTCGGGTTCGGTTGAGATTCGGTCCCGCCTTGGCGTCCTGAAAGCTCTCTTTCAAAGTCTTCGTAGTTGATGTCCATCCAGGACTCGTCATCATCGCGACCGGCGTCCCTCCAGCTGCGGATTTGTTCGTCTGTAGGGAGCACTGAATCTCCATCCTCCTCAAGGTCCTGTACAATAATACTAGCCGCCCTGGCTTCACGACTATCGGCCTTGTCAACATTGTTGAGCATTATTTCGAATCCACATGTGAGTTTCATGCCCATCTCCAAATGTGTGTGCTCGACCCCCTTGACTCGTTGAATAATACCAGCCCAAGGGGCAGGCGGCTCGAACCTTTGCGATCTGAGTTGGGCGAACAACACCCTGGTGAATTTGACGCTCACCGTGACAAGATCGACCGGGGGAAAAGTATGACTTTTCTTGCTGGACAGAAGAGTGTTCAGATCTAGCGCATCGCGGAGGTAGAAGGACTCCACAGCTGGTGCAACAGCCTTGGGAGTTTGGCGTAGGACATGGACAAGTCTTCGAGGAATTGTCACGAGCGAGTGGTGTATGGACTTGTGAATATGGCCAGGGTACTTTTCAAGGCGATAGAAAGCCTCAGCCTCTATGAACTCTGAGTGCAAGAGAGAGTCGGAGGTGGATTTTATAACGCGCAAAGCGTCCGATAATGCCAACAGCCGGGTTTTAGTGCCGTCTTCGGTTGTGTGAGGGATGATTCGTAGACGGCCATTGTTAATCCAAACACGGTTCTGGTCTGTCTCAGGACTCAACCATTTGGGAAGAACGTTGGCTGCCTCTATGAGGAGAAACTCCCCATCAGCGTCATAGACACGGATCCATGCAGTGGGTTGAACTTTGGAAAACTCTCTGAGGATATAGACAATCAGCCATTCGTCCTCGATCGAATCTCCGTAGTCAGTGATTCCTCGGAGAAACGAGTTGCCTGTCGGAGTCTTAGCACTCAAATCAAAAAATTGAATCATTCTGGGGGGGGGGGGGGGACGAACCTTGCTCTGTAACCACATCGAGAGTGAAGAGGCCCTTTTGCCAAATATAGTCTGCGGTCAGGGAGTTTGCAAGTTGCAGAGCAGTTTTTCGTAGATCGTCGAGTCTGGAAAGTTGCTTCAGGGGATCATTTGAGGCGTTGGCGTCAACAAGAAAAATGCTATACTCGACGCAATTTTCTCGCAGGTCGGGAGCATTCTGTTCGTGGCGGCCCCCTGCTTCTCCAGCTCCTCGTTGTGGATCAGCCATGACAAATAGCTTCGAGATACCTTGGCTGGCCAGATGAAGTTGTAAACGCGCAGAGAGCGGACAAAATTGTTGTTACTGTTGTTCTGTTGTGGCAGAGCCGTGGGTTTTAGCTCGTGATTTACTCAGTCGCAGGCAGGGCTGGTATTTTGAGTGGAGGTTGGATGACTTCTTTCAATGGAAGCCAAGCGATTTCGAAAAAATGCTCGAGAATTCTTGAGGACCTTCGCATTAAATTCGTAATTGCACATAAGTAGGCCCTTAGTCTGGAGAGTGCAGGCTTGCCTTGCCTGTATTGTTCACCTCGATCTATCTATCTGATAGAGCTCTTTCGATGGTAACTGCATCCCAGACCTTCAAGACTATTGGTGCTGGAACACCTGCCTACGGCAAAGAGAGTCGTAGTCGCTCAGAAGAGCGCCCCACCAAAGCCCCGGTCACCTACCTTACCTTCAGGTGCCTTAGCACAGTGACTTTGATAAATGTCTGCCCGGAGCACTGTACGCGTTAAGTGCTCGATTAATGGAAGGTGCAGGCAGACATACCTTCCAGGTTAACTTACCTTACCTTACCTCAGCCCCCACCGCGGATAACCACACAGTCGCGTTCCGTCATCCGACGCGTCGCACGAAGCTTTCGTGGTCATTCAATCTGGAAGGCTACAGCCCAAGTTATCCAACGACAGGTCCCCAAAATCTGCGTCCACCTTTGTTAACACCAAGTGCGATAGGCGCACTGAATTTCTACTGCCCGACGTCGCAAAATCTCAACGCAGGCGCATCTTCTGGGCTACTCGTCATGGCCCCCGCTAAGAGATCCCACGCCGTCTCGGAAGCAGGCAGCGGAGACGAGGAGGAGGAGCTGGTTGAGGTGCGGCAAAAAAGGTCCAACCTCGCTCAGGACGCACCCGTAGGTTTCTCCAAGAATGTGATATTACCTATGAGATCAACTGACACTTCTGGAATTCTGCAGTCAAAGCGGGTTCGACTATCAAACACTGCTCAGCCGACCAAGTCGGTACCCCCAAGGGATGAATCCCCAAGCTCCGGAAGCGAAGACGGTGCGGACGAAGAAGAGGAAGACGGACGAGCCGGCCGTGAATCGCCTCCCCGAACCCAATACGAAATCGCCCGGGACGATGGTTTCAGGCACTTGCAGTACGAGGATCAAGACGATCAACGTGCTACGCAGAAAATCAAAAGCCGGCCGCAGCGCATCGGCGACAACCATGCTGCCGAGAACGGCATTATTGAGAGTGTCGAGTGCATCAACTTCATGTGCCACGAGCGCCTCTTTGTCGAGCTCGGTCCCCTGATCAATTTCATCGTCGGCGAGAATGGAAGTGGCAAGAGTGCAGTCCTCACAGCCCTAACCTTGTGTCTTGGTGGCAAGGCTAGCTCCACCAACAGAGGCGGAAGTCTCAAGAGCTTCATCAAGGAAGGGAGAGACAATTCTGTCATCATTGTGAGGATCAAGAACCAGGGCATTGACGCCTACCAGCCCGATCTGTACGGCGAAACCATCAGAGTCGAACGCCATTTCTCCAGGGCTGGCGCCAGTGGC